TCAATAATATTGTTACAGTTTAATAAAAGTTATCTTATGGTTTCTTCAGCTTCTGAAGGGTCATCTTGCAAAGTGAACACTTTCCTGGGCATCAAATTAATATATTCTACAAAGCACTGCAGATATAGATATCCTCCAATGACTTGTTATAAGCCCGTTCACGGGGAGGGCGGGGTATAAATGCAATAAAATAAATTCTAGATTCTTCTTCATTTCATCACGTACTTTTTTCTTGAAAGCCTAGGCAGATGTGAAAACTTGTATTCCTACTCTAGTCTAATAGAACAGGTACAGGAGCCAAAGACAGACAACAGACAGCTGTGTATGCCAAGGCTTAGTTCAGATTCTCTTCTCCCACACCACATCCTGGAGACAGCTCCTGCCACTTTAGGGTCTAGATCATCTCTTAAACAGGATGTAGTGTAACTGCAAGTTAACCAGGTAAGTGTTCTCTCCTCTCTTCATTCACTTCTAGTCTCCTTTACAACCTTTTCAGATTAGCTTATACAAAGAATACTTTTCAGGCTTCCTATTACAAGCAGATTTTGCTTTAAGACCTAATCATTGTATACCAATCAGTTCTCCTCAGAAGTCAGAAGTTCTCCTTAGAGTGATTAACACTTGGAATTCACTGCCACAGGAAGTGGTGGCGGCTACAAGCATGGACGGCTTCAAAAGGGAATTAGATAAGCATATGGAGCAGAGGTCCATCAGTGGCTATTAGCCACAAGGTATAGATAGGGACTCTGGGGCAAGTGATGCTCTGTCATCTTGGTGCTTGGGGAGGGTCAACAGTGGAAGGGCTTCTAATGTCCTGGCCCCACTGCTGGACCTCCTGATGGCACCTGGTATTTCTGGCCACTGTGTGATTCAGAGTGTTGGACTGGATGGGCCTTTGGCCTGATCCAACATTGGCATCTCTTATGTTCTTATGTTCTTATGTCAATATCCCAGGTTAAACATTATCTTACTTTTTCCCAGCTACTAATTTCTTCCATCAATATTGTGCCCTTCTGATTCTTTCTCCATAATTTCTCTATGGTATTTGGAGGGGAAAAAACCACAACCCCATTCTGATCGATGTTCCCCTAATTCAAAACACTTTGCTAAAATGCCCACAGCTATACTTCTTACTAGCATTTCTAGCTGCATTTACTGAAGCCAGTATTTTACTAACATAATTCATTTTGAAAGAGGCTGTTTCTGTCAAGCTGTAATAAAGGAAATATAGACAAAGATTAATGTAAAGTCTTTCTAAGATCACATGCCGACTAGATGCCCTGATTTGTTTAGTTTTTTGGAACAGCAACATATCAGAAACTGCTTTTGAAAAAACAGTTAGTTGTAAGCAAGGAGTGCTAATAAAAGAGAAGAACAGTACAACCCCCCCCCCCCTTACATGTGTGGAACTAGTTTAGGAATTCTAGCAATCCTAGCCACAATATTTAAGATACTGCTGCAACTGTTCACACTGAAAATCAAACACTAGAGATGCTCAACAATAACAGAAATGGAAATTTGTGGGGAACATAGTGGCTCAAACCAATATTCTAAATAGAGCTGTGTACCCTGAATGACAACAAAAATATTCACATATTTCATATTTATATATTCACAATTAAAAATCCACAAATTGCTCTTGGAATGGACTGGGAGAGGGAAGTAAAAAGGAAACTGAGATTTTCAGAGTGCCAAATACTATGCTACATTATGGAACTCTGTGTTTCCATAGAAATCCTATGGTCACTAACTGTCTGAATTGTTTCACCTGTAAATCGATGGAGTTTGGATTTTAACTCCCATCAGTTGTCATGAGATTCAAGAAGTATCTGCCGTTTCTGATGGCTTATGTCTGCACACACAAAATAGCTTTGGCAATGACCCTCAATTTTCATTTGTATTTTTAAGAAACATATTTATGGTTGTTTTCCCTTCACCTATTTAGACTCTGGAAAAAGGTCCCAATCAACAAAAAAAGTACTGTACTCATTTTCTCATGGGAATAATTTTTACAATATCAGCCTGGGATTTTACTTTTTTTATTACGGCAGTTGATTCAGTGGCTTCTCAGAATTGGTTAAAAAGATTGCATTGGCCAGTGGTGACAGATGATGTTTGACTCAGCTAATGAGTCAAAAACCTGTCAAGTTCTGGTATGTAGAGACCTGACTTCCCCCCCCCCGCCACCTTCTTGTTTTAGTTTGCCAGCAAGCAAAAAACATAACTGAGCTAAGAAAACCCTGTGCTTTGTGATACTTTTTAATCTGTTATTTTAGGCCAAGTCAATCATTTTCATAAGGGATTTAAAATAATAATATTCATTTTTCTATCAGCACAATAAAACCCCAACATTTTATAGGCTGCTCCTTGAAAACATTAGCATTTAAATCATATTTCTGGACACTGGGTGAGATGTGACAGCTTTTGCACATCGAAGAAGCCAAACACATAAGGAGGCCCTAAACAGAATATGGGTGATTATTCAGTAATTGTTACCTCCTCAGTGTACACATGAAAGTGACTAGTTGTAAGAAACCCACATTCTTAATTCTGACCTAAGTCAGAAGCAGCATCAAAAATATGCAAGCCATAAGAATACTGATTCAAATAAAAGTTGCTTCAGCACAGTTCACAAACTTATATAAAAATACTTGTAAACCCACCTATAAAATATGTCAACATGTCATATTCATGCTCTATTTGTTTTATGTCTTTATGGTGGAAGGCCATAAAGCCAAGCATTCAAAGGTTCTAAATGTAAAATCCTATGTTCTGTATCACATACATTACTTTGCCACAAAGAGAAACATTTCCTTTTCCTTAGGAGACATGCTGATTTAATTACACTATTTGTTTTCTCTCTTACGTTATGCAGATGTAATGCTAATCCTGCACCACACTATAATTCTTTGATGAATTCAGCAGGCATGGAAAAAAAGGCTGGTTTAGCTGTGGGGGGACAAGGCAGGTACTAACAGGACACAGACAGAGGGCAGACAGAGCATGCTTGGAATTCCTGTGCAAATACACCAATGAACAATAGGAAACGGCACAGGCACACGACTTGCAAATAGCCCTTGCTATCAGGATCAAGAGTATTTAAAACAGGACTAGAATCTGTTCAAAGCAACCCAACATTCTACAAGCAGACATGGCTGTCAAAGAAGCCTCATCTACTGCCAAAACTTCCTTCCATTACATGTAATGCATATGAGAAGCTATCAGCTATGAAGACACAGAAATATACCGTGATATAAAATAAAACCACCAGTCCTGGGTGCATTTTAAATATCCATAGTATAGTTTGTTTGAACCACAGTAAAAAAAAATGCAATATCATGTCATGCATTCCATGTAAACATGCTATAAAAGAGTTAGTTACTGCAAATTCCCCTTCCATTATTTATTATTATTTATTTATTTATTTGATTTCTATCCCGCCCTCCCAAAGGCTCAGGGCGGTTCACAGGCGGCAAAGTCGGAATATAAAATACAATAAGACATACAATAAAATACACATTTAAAACCACGGTAAAACCATCCTATAACATGGTGCTATATTAATCAACCAAGATGGGAACAACCACCCAACTTTGGTGGCCAGCTATCCTGGTAGCGCAGTCTCCCGCTATGCTGTCTATAACTTCTGCCAGGGCTTAACCTGCCCCCCTTTCTAGGGCAGCCGATGACATACTACCTCGGTGGTAGGATAGTGGCGGCGGCGGCTCCTACTCGAATGCCTGGCGGAAGAGCTCCGTCTTGCAGGCCCTGCGGAACTGCATAAGGTCCCGCAGGGCCCAGATCTCCTCTGGGAGCTCGTTCCACCAGGTACGAGCCGCCACCGAGAAAGCCCTGGCCCTAGTAGGGGCAAACGTAATCTCTCAGGGACCTGGAACTTCCAGGATATGGCGGTTTCCCAATCGTAGTGTTCTTGAGGGAACATACGGGAAGAGGCGGTCCTTCAGGTAAGCCGGACCCTGGCCATTCAGGGCTTTAAAGGTGAGAACCAGCACTTTGAAGCGAATCCGGTATGCTATTGGCAGCCAGTGCAACGCTTGCAGCTCAAGCCGGATATGGTCTCGCCTAGAGAGACCCAACAGCAACCTGGCTGCAGCATTCTGCACTAGCTGCAGCTTCCAGATTTGCGACAAAGGCAGCCCTAAGTAGAGAGCGTTACAGTAGTCAAGCCTCGAGGTGACCGTCGCATGGATCACAGTAGTGGCCAGGTCGTCAGAGTCAAGGTAGGGAACCAACTGCCGAGCCAGCCGCAGATGATAAAAGGCTGCCCTGGCAGTAGCCGCTACCTGGGCTTCCATCGTCAAAGAGGAGTCCAGGAGCACCCCCAGACTCCTAGCCTCCCGCCGAGGCACCAATGGCACCCCGTCGAAGGCCGGGAGCGGGAGCCCCAACCCCAGACCAGTCCGGCTCAGGCCCAGGACCTCCGTCTTTTCCAGGTTTAATTTCAACCAACTCAGCCTGAGCTAACCAGCCACAGTTTGCAACGCCCGATGAAGGTCATCGGGACCAGAGTCCGACCGGTAGGTGGCAAGTAGGTGGCAAGTAGAGACAGGGCATTTTCTGTGGTGGCTCCTTGCCTCTGGAATGCCCTCCTCCTTGAGGCTCACTTGACACCTACCTTACTTTCTTTTAGGTGCCAGGCCAAAACACATATTTTTACACAGCCTTTTACCTGAGGATGTTATCTTACCAGCTTCTGTTTTATGGACAGATTTAACTCTGTATATGTCCTTTGGCTTGTTTTTTTATGGCTTGCCTTTTTAAAAAAAACTTGCAAGGTGCTTGAGCAGGACCCTGAAGAGGCAGCATAGAAATATCCTAAATAAATAAAAAGTACAAATAAACCACACTCTTCATCTGACATCCTGGCCCTCACATCTAACCTCCTGAATAATTCTAAGAGAAACGGTCAAAGAGGCAGCCATACATTGCTACTCTTAGGGTCACCACTGGTATTACTTTAGTAGATGTCATGTCTGTACCTGCAAATCTGCAAGATGAGCAGCTGACTTCCCCTCAAGGCACAGAGTCTGAGCTACAAATGCATTCAGATCTTCAACAGAGAGGGTGTCCACCTAAAAGAGATTTTAAAAAGACACTTAGCTCAGAGCTATGGGGGAAGGTGCATACTTTCCTCCATTATCAAAATTCCTTATTGCAGGAATGTCACTGTTGTACCACGGCCTTATTCATGTGTATTTCCTTATAATCACCCCTTAAGGGCCTGTCACAACTCCAGCTCCTTTGCCTTACTTCTAGCCAGGGGATGTTTCCTACCAGCGGGCAGCAGCCAGTCATGTTACAATATGTTGAATTCTTATAAAATCAATTAAAATGGTATTAGCCTAAAGTGTGGGTTGGATCCAGAAGCTCTCTTCCACTAAATTAAAGAAATAAAACAGGACTCCAGTGGCACCAAACCTAAGTGACTGACTTCTCCAGCAGAGGAAAAATCAATTTGCTTTAGTCGCCTGTCTTTCTGTAGGCTATGAGAAATTATACAGTTGGGAAACTGCTTTGACTGGTGTTTGCTCATCTTTAAGATGCCAGAAGACTCATCTTTGTTTTTGCAGCAAAAGATTAGCATAGCTTCACCTGTGTCATGTAATATCACAAACACTCCCTTTGAAGAGAATTATTCCTGATATTCCTAAATGGTTTGAAATCTGACAGTAATTCTGGTGCCTCACTGTCTGGTTTTAGTTTTCTGGAGGAATCTCAGCAAAAGGAAGAGAATCACTCAGCAAACAGATGCCCAAGAGGAATCTGTACAAGCCAAGACTGCCCCATGATTGTCAATACTGGTTGTCAAAGTTTCTGTGGGCCCATTATTCTAAAGCCGTGTCCAGTCCCTGTCTTCTCTGCTGATGCAGAAACTGTTGTGTGCACTGGACCACACTCCCCCACTCCAGTTGTTCAGAAGCTGGTGTAGTGTGCTAATTAAGAGAATGAATGGTGATCCAAAAGATCCCCAGCTCAACTCTCACCAGTGCCGCAAATTCACTAGCTGGCCTTAGGCAAAGTCCACACAGTCGGCTTCAGACCAAAAATTGTAGCATGAGTGTCTGGGAGTGCAGAAATCTCAGGACTTACCCGGAAGCAGCCACAGGATGGGGGAGAAAACACTGTGCATTTGTGTAGCTGCTGAGCAGCCAGCCCTATTTATAAAGGACAGTGATGCCTCAACAGCTGACTGGTGGCATCTGGAAGAGGTTCCAGGGGAGGTAAAGGCTGGAGGAGTTGGCTGGCATGGCAGGTACAGCTCCTGATCTCTCACCAGTGGAGAGGCCCAAGGGCACCCACAGCTTGGCACACTGCTTTTAAAAGGTCCCAAGAACTGGGCCAATGAGGAGGAGTTTGGCATCTGTCTAGGCTTTGAAGGAGAGAGTCAGGAAGAGGAGGGGAAGGAATGAGGGGGAGGCAACCTCTTCCCCTCTTTCTCCTGAAACTGCTCCAAGCCCTCTCAACAGGGTCATTAGATGGACAGGACAATGGAGGGGCAGGCCAGGGTGACCTCCCCTCACTCCAGGGATAATGACAGCAGCCTACTTATAGGGCTGGTGTAAGGATTGCAATAAAAAGTGCTTTGAACACTTAAAATGCTATACAGATGTTAAACGTTATTATAAGTATTGCTACTTTTATCACTTGATCGTGTCATGATTTCCCGTGGCCACAATTCAGAATACCGTACAAATAATTCCAGGCACCTAATAGGAATTTTAAAATAAGTAATTTTGTTAGAGTTTTTAAAGAAATTCAGCAGAGTTAAAAAACAGCTTAGCAATGCCAGAGTTCAATAATCAGACCCAGAGTCCATGTGTGTTTAAAAATATAAAAGTTTACTACAATTCTACCATAGGGAAGGGTAAAGTTGGGAGAAAATAACAGAGAGCTAATTCAGCTACATCCTCTCTAGACTAGAAGAACTGGAAAAAGATGGCCCTCCAACGTGCTTCTCCCTCAAGGCGAACAAAGACGGGAAGAGGGCTCATAAAATGCAAAGTTACTAACACTTCGCTCCCAATCAAACTCTTAGAACAGGGATGCTTTCGCGGGCTAACAGACTTGAGCTAACACTGGCTAACACAAAGACAGGTGATTTCCTGTAACAACAGAACAGACATTTAACCCCATGCATACACATTGAGTGTTTTCAACATGCAAATACCCAACAAATTTCTATCATTCTGCATGGAAAGACAAGTTCGAAATTCAGGAGAATTTCACCAGGTGACCCACAAGTGGAATTTTCTGCTATTCCTTAGTGAAAACCCTAAATCAATGAAAATTTGATCATGAAGAAGAGTGAGGAAAGTAGCTGATGTTCGTTTAATATATGAAGAGCAATGTTCCCTCTAAGCTGTGGAGTCTTGTGAGCAAAGATTCTGCTTGGTGAGCAACTGGCATTAAAGTTGTGAGCGAGCGATTTGGCTACTGCATAAATTAGTTTGCTCAGGAACCCTCCTTTCTGAGCTAAGACAAAAATGTGTAAGCCAGAGGCTCAAAAACTGTGAGCTAGCTCACACTAACTCAGCTTAGAGGGAACACTGATGAAGAGATATATTTATCACTAATATTAATCCACTGCAGGTATGAGCAATGAAAGCTGATTACGAAATGAGCATGTTCTTTACCTGTAAAGCAAGGTATATCAACAAGGAACAGACAGCAGTAACAGAAGCTTGCAGAGCCTGGAGCTCCTCTGCTACATCTTGAAGCTGAAAACAGGCCACAAATGTGCAACAGCGGAGCTTTTCAGCCTCTGGTTCCCTGCTGAGCCAAAGTGTTCTCAGACTAGGAGTGCCACCTAGAAAAGAAACACACAATTTCAGTCACTGTAGAAGCAAGATGTGGCAGGTTTTGCTCACGGAGCTTCAACAGGAAACCATCTTTCACCTCTAAGTTGACCATAACTACAATGCAAATATGCATGAGAATATCGGTATCAGATTTCAGAAATATAAATATGCTGCCACGCTGATTGTAAGCAACTATCCTGGCTCTTTATAATTTTTTTTGCAGAAAACACGCATCTTATAGTGACGCAGGATTACAGGGCTGAAAGATATGGCCAAGTTAGAATTACATTTGAATATGAGGAGTTTATCACCTAAGTGCCATCTTAACAAAGGTATAGGATATTTGAGGCTGGAATCTTTCGCTTCCTTCTCATGCATATTTTGGGCCATGATCCAAATCTTGCACAAGTGCTCTCAATGACCCAGTCTAATTTCTCCCCAACCTTAGTGCTTGATAGTACTTGAAGTATTGCTACATGCTAGATTTTGGCAGGCCATTCACTTTAAATAAAGACCCTTTTGTGCCTCATGTTACAGCATACAACAGCCCAACTAGCCCACTCTTGTTCAAGCCTCCCCAAGTTGCTTTCCTCCTGCTCAGAGCCAGCCTGTCCATTAAGGTTAGGATGCTGGGGTCCCAAAAGAGGCTCAGGGCAGGTTCTCGCCAGGACTGGATCAGCCACGGCAAGGGGCAGCCCCAGGTAGCCCTACTGGTGCCAAGACCACCACACTGGTGCACCATATGACTGGCTGCAGTCCTAAAGGCAAGGGCAGCTTGCAGGGAGGGAGAAAAAACAGATGGTTGCTGGCTTCACACTGCCCAGCTGGAAGTAGCAGCTCCTTGTCTCCCCAGTTCCATACAAGCCTGGTTCATGGCGGGGTGGGGGGCGGGGTGGGGGGGGCAAAGTCATGGGCTGCCTAGGGCATCAAAAACCATTGGGCTGGGAAAGGGAGATCAAGCCAGCTCCTAATGAAAACTCACTTTGCCCCAGCTCTCTGATTGTGCAGGCTGCTAGCTCCCAAGTCTCCATATGTGCTTTTAAAGTACAGCTGAATAGAAAAGATTTGTGCTTCTCCATGTGTCCCAATTGTTAAGGTCTTTCCCAGAGCAATGGTCATGGGTGCAGTGTGATATGTACACAGAGCACTCACGGGTCCCCGTCCAACTCAAAAGAAGAAGCAGATCAATGTGTACAAAGGGGCATGCTTGAGCACCAGTGTCTTCCTCTGAAACAGAAGTCCCAGCAGGTGAGGTATTCAGTGTGCCTATCAAGTATTTTTGCAAATATTAGGAACTGCTGGCTGATGTACTCATGTATTCTTCATTGCCAGAGGCAATTCCAGACTCCATGAGGATCCCACTTCCTTCCTCTTCCTCTTTGCAATTGCTGCTTTCTTGCTGACTCTCCTTGAGTGAGAAATGACAGGAGCAAAAAGAAGAAACAGCTACCACCTTTCACCTACACAGACTTGGGCCATGAAGGAGAAGAGTAAAGTGTGAGAAAGGAGATGAACCAACTCAGAGGGCGAGCCAGAGAGGCCAAGTTGCCCAAGAGTTGCCCCCAAACTGTGGCTGGTATTATACAGTGGTCTGCACTACAGGAGCTGTGGTGGCTCAAGTGGTTAAGACGCTGAACTGCAGGCTGTGGAAGGTCAGTAGTTCAGCGGTTCAAGACCCGGGTGCCGCAAGACAGGGTGAGCTCCTGTCTCTAGTTCCAGCTCCTGCCAACCTAGCAGTTCGAAAGCAAGAAATAGCAAGTAGATAAATAGGTACCACTTCGGTGGGAAGGTAACAGCGTTCCGTGCGCCTTGGTGTTTAGTCATGCCGGCCACATGACCACGGAAACGTCTTCGGACAGCGCTGGCTCTTTGGCTTTGAAACGGAGATGAGCACCGCAACCCTAGAGTCGGATTCGACTGGCTTTCGAGCAAGGGAACCTTTACCTTTACCTTTACCTGCACTACAGAAATGATGGCACTTCATTTCAGCGTCAAATGTGCAATCCCAAATCAAGGGTACCCGTTTGTTACTTTATTCTCTAAGCATCAAGTGTTTAAAGTATGCAAAGCTATGATGCATCCTAGAACTAATAGGGCTGCGAGCATTATTTCTATATTCCCTCTTATCCCCTCATCTCATGTATCTTGTTGCCAGTTTGCAAGGGTGAAATTTCTTTGCTGCACTCTCTTCATTCAACTGTCAGGATGAATACTACTGAGTATGAACTGCAAATACCTAGCAAGCTGTACTAAGATAAACTCCTGCTGTAAAACTAATTTGATGTGGTCTTTAAAACATTCCAGTTTTAAGGAGTCAGCTGCATTTGGTAGCACATCTCTTTTATTATAAGCAGGAGCTGCATTCCTTTGTGTGAGCCACTTGGCTACTATAAAGGATGAGAGTGCTGAGGTGTCAAACAGCGGGTGAGAGAAAAGTTTGTTTAGCAAACAAGACTCATTAGGGAAAGGGTCTTTTGCCCAAGGACAAACACAGTAGGAAATAAATATTCATCCTCCTGTCGGTTCTTTGGACAGGCAGCACAGAAATTGTCTAACTAATAAATCTCATGTATTTTCAGTTTGTTGGGTTTTCAATATCTCACTATCATCCAACACAGTTCTATACTGCTCTTATAGAAGTAGAAATCATGAGAACTCCCTCTCTTGTCAAAGTACTGGTTGCTTTATGCATTTAATAGTTTACCAAATTATTATGTGATCTCTAATTATTTAAATATTAGTTATTAGTTGCAAGCCTAAAAAGATTTACAGCCATCTAAATCTACTGAAGTCAGTGGGCTTGGAATAGTGTAATTCTTTAGGATTATGCTGTCAGACAAACTGGACTACCTATCTTAATGCAAGCCCTACTGTGCTATGAATTGCAAAAATCTCCCCTCAAGGAAGAGGATCTGAACATCAATTTATTGGTTCTCCTTCAAGGTTTCCAAATATTTTTGTAAAATCCCTGTCTCTGAAAAGCCAAAGCAAACATTAAAGACAAACTGAAACAAGCACAATAAAGATTCAGATGGGATCAACTAACTTTAAATCATTGATAAACATTAAAGAAGAAGAGGAGGAGGAGGAGGAGATTGGATTTATACCCCGCCCTTCACTACCCAAAGGAGTCTCAGAGCAGCTTACAATCTCCTTTCCCTTCCCCTCCCCACAACAGACACCCTGTGAGGTAGGTGAGGCTGAGAGAGCTCTGACAGAAACTGCTCTTTTTCAATGACAGCTCTGACAGGCCTATGGCTTGCCCAAGGTCATCCAGGAGGTGCAAGTGGAGGAGTGGGGAATCAAACCTGGTTCTCCCAGACTAGAGTCCACGCACTTAACCACTACACCAAACTGGCAACCACATGAAGGGCTTTTAACTAGTTACCTTTCCAGAGTTTAAACATCTGTCTGATTAATATTGGTGATACTCCACAGATTTTGTGAACACAGATCATTTACAGCGAGGTAATATATTTCCTAAATCAAGAGCAATATGAAGAAGACTGACGCAAGAAACTACAGGCCAATCAGTCTGACCTCTGTCCCAGGGAAGATACTGGAACAGATCTAAAGGGTTCAGTCTGTGAGTATCTGAAGGACAACTTGGTGATCCGGGGAAGTCAGCACAGATTTGTCCCCAACAGGTCTTGCTGGCTGCCAGACCAACCTGGTTTCCTTCTTTGATTGAGTGATGAGTGTACTGGATTGTGGGAACACCATCGATGTTGTTTAACTGGATTTCAGTAAAACTTTTGACAAGGTTCCTCATGATGTTCTAATCAATAAACTGGAGTACTGCAGATTGAACTCTAGGAGAGTTAGGTGGATAGGGAACTCTTTGGAGAACTGCACCCAAAGAGTAGTTGTCAATGGAATTTCATCTGAATGGAGGGAGGTGTCCAGTGGGGTGTCACAGGGCTTGGTTCTGTGCCCGGTACTTCTCAATGTTTTTGTAACCCATATAGATGAGGGGGTGGAGGGACTATTCATTAAATCTACAGATGACACCAAATTGGGAGTAGTAGTGAACACCCCAGAAGAGATAGACAAGATCGAAACACACTGGAAAAATGAGTGGATGTGAACAAGTTTCAATTCGTTCTACATCTGGGAAACAAAAATGAGAAGCATGCATACTGGATGGGGATAGACTTCTGGGCAGCACTGTGTACGGCTGGACTGCAAACTAAATGCAAGCAGCCAGTGTGATACAGCCACCAAAAAGACTAATGTGCTCTTGGGGTGTATCAAGAGAGGCATGATGTCATGGGTCAGCCAGGGCTTAGTGACTGTGAGGACACCTCAAAGAAGGAGGGGCCCTGCGTAGCCAGTCCAGAATTGACAGAAGCTGACCAGCAGGAAAATGAGGCGCAGGCATGCCAGGACTTACAGCCAAAAGCTGGTTCAGAATCATCTCCACCCTCCAGCTCTAATTCAGCAGGTAAAGGTCAGGTAGCCACTCCCAGCCCTCCGGAATCACCTGTACTTTTGGAACACCGCTGAAGAAGGCTGAGGACACAGTTATAGGCTAGGAGGCAAAGTGAATGTCTCTTGGCTCAATGCCAGCTGCCTATTGATAGTGAAGATGTGTCTTTACAGGACTGTTCCTGAGAAGCTGGCTGTTTGCATGACATTTGGGCATACAGTTATAAAGTTTCCCGAGAGAGGCTTTTGGGTGTGGATGGAACACATACGTTAGACGCTGAACTGCCGGCACTGCCTTGATTGATTACTGGAAAACCTGACCCCGGATGGAACAACCTTGGACTTTGGAGGCCCCCTTTGGCCTTGTTATTTATTTATTTAATTGGATTTCTTGGCTGCCCTTCCCTCCAAGCAGGGCTCAGGGCCGCTTACAAGAGAACAAAGGCAATAAATAGTACAAGTTAAAATCAAAATTAAAATACCTGTAACTTCCCAAGATGGCAAAATAATTTCTTTCCAGAGACCACCTAGGGGGAGGGATTGCAGAGGGTGGGGGGGGGTATGAGAGTGCCAGATTTCA